GTGTGTGTGTGTGTGTGTGTGTGTGTGTGTGTGTGTGTGTGTGTGTGACCTGTTCAGGTCTGTTTGGAATAAATGACCTTCCAATGAACTTGAGGATTTATTAATTCCATTCAATTGTGAAATGTAGATTATTTAAAATTTGAAAAAAGTAGATTTGGCATGTCAGTTACAGATTATTTCTCTGATTCCTCCAACTTTTGTTAATAAAATTTAAAAGTACACAAAGATTTTATACATTTCTTAGTCTCAGGTTTTACAGTACAAACAATCTTAGAAGAAAGGAGCAGAAATTAGTTTATTCCATTCCTGTGCATCTCTTTGTATAATAGATGAGTTCCTGGACACTCCTATGTAAATAGTTATCAATTGGTTTTAGACAAGAGAGCGAGAATATTAAAGGTGTTTTCAGAGGTAAATTCTTTTGAAAAGGGAAAAATTTCTGGAATTCCTGGAAAATGATTTCCTAATTTTTCAAGTTCATTTCTTTTTTTTTTTAACAAAGGAAGGCATTCATTTTGACAGTTCCATTATTATATCCATATTACAAGGATTTTCCATGCTATGGCATTCACCTCCATATTCCTGCTATAGCTAAATAAAATTTGTTCAGATGAAATCATCCATAATACATGAGTTTGTGCATTCTTGTCCATTTGGGGCAAATATTCTCATATTTTTGCAATGTGGAATGTTAATTAATAGAATCTATCTTTTTTATTCTTCAAAATATCATATAAATGATTTGATGGTTTAGTCAGGGAATGAGTAATCATTTGGATTAGTCCTAAGAGCCATGAGTCAGCTCATGAGAGCTGATCGTTAAGTTTCCAATGTGAGCATTTACACCTTGGAAACCAAAAAATACTAAACGGGTTTGATTAATTGCTTTATCAGTTGTCTAGACTTAAGAAAGCTATGGATAAGATGCTAATGATGCAAATGAAACTTGAAAATGTGAAGCGTACACATTCCCCCCCAGCCAGTTGTTAAATATTTACCAACATGCCACTTCTAAGAACTCTTTCATGTTCACTGACCTGAGTAACAAGAGTCAAGAAACACTATTTACAAAAAAAGTAATAAAAACTCACCCATCAACATTTTAAAAAATCTGTCAAATATTAACAATATTTGATATTTTATTCAAATAAAGATACTGCAGAAAAGGCATGGGACTTAGGGCAATGCTCCCTAATTCTCCCATTAGCACCTTCATATTTTTGATTATATACAAATACTGAGTATTTAAATCTTTATGCCTTAGCACTGGGAAGTTAGTTAACAATACAAGGTGCCCCTTCTAATTAAACAATGGATTCTTTTGTTAATAAAACTTGAAAAAAATATAGCAACTCTGATTTCCTTCAAGTACGGTAAAAATAAGATTCTCTGTATAGCATCACTTTTTCTTAAAATAGGGAAAATCTATAGTTTAAAAAAATAAATACCAAAAAATGTGTTTAAGTCTCTAAAGCCCAAAATGATTTCCTTTTTCTTAAACAGGAAAAAAGCCATATTATTCGTGTTCAATTTAATATTTAAATGTTCAGTGAACATTTTTGAATTGTTTTGCAACTGTATATAAATAATTCTATAATATATAATTCTATTAGCAAAAACTGGAATATTTTAAAAGATTTGGATCTTATATACTGAGTGTCCCAAAATACTTAACTGCAGTTTTAAGCTAAGCTATACCCTAGACAGATAGAGTTTTCCAATACTTCAAAGTAACATAGTAATTCGATAAAAATGTGTTTGCTGCTGTTCTTTGAGCCTATAAAAGTATTCTTAGGTTTCCTTTCCTGTAATCATCCCATATTATTCTAGCAACTCTCTTAAAACAACTCAATTTATAATCTTTGACTTTCTTTCCTTAAATTCATTGGCCTACAAGGAGGATGCTCAAACACCTAGAAAATCCGCCCAATTTGATGTGGTATATCTAAAGTTAAGGGGAAAGCAACTTCAAAAAAAAAAAACCAGAAAGAATCTGAAATGTTGTGTTACATTGAAAGTGAAATTGGAGTTGAGATTTCTACTGGAATCATACCATAAAAAAATTAATAGTTCTATAGTGCCTAACAGGGTACTTATCTAACCCTTTTAGGTAAACACTATACACTTGCTTTGAATAGTGAAGCATACACTGGGAGAAATGAATGGGATGATGTTTAATAAATTCTTCAGAATACTATTACATATTTTAGGCAGCAAAATCTGTGGGGATAAGGAAATTGATTGTGATAAAGGTTAAATTAGATAATATTTGTAAAGTGCTTAACACAGTGCCTGGCTCATAGTAGGTGCTATGTAAAAATGTTAACTATAATGATGATGTGATAAAAATGCCTAAAATAATGGTTCTAAGAATTTAAAAGATATTTTATAAAGCTCAAATGTTGGCTCAAATGTCTTGTTATCCCCTTAAACCTCTTCTTCTGAAACCATTTTGATTCTTTTGTTTAAATTTTATGTTTCTGAGACACCCTTACCCTCCAATCTATCTGAATCTTTTTCATTTAAGACTACCAAAGCAGTCATAATACCATATATTAATAGCCTGGATCTCTCCCAACTTTCTTCTCACGCCAAGGAAATTTCTTTACCAGTCTCCTTCAGAGTACACGTTTGCATCCTGATCCAACTTCCTAGAAATTTTTTTAAGGGAGTAAAATAGCTCAATGTTTTAGTGGGGGAAAGATTCCTAAATTAATAATATATGTTAGCATATTCCAAATCAACTTATCAAGATCTATGCATATTCAAGTATATTAAGACAAAACTGGCTGATGACTATTTTACATCATTAGCCTGAATAGGGTTTTATATTCACCCTGCAACAAACTGACAATTACTAACACCTGAAAAATCTAGCTTTAGGTGGTTGTTTTATGATCAACTGGTCGGAAAAGAAAGGCTCTTATATTTAAGGGCTTGGCATACAGAGCAAAAAAAAAAAAAAACTTTTTTAGTTGACTGGGTAAAAAGACATGCAATCCTTTTTTTTTTTTAAAGCACATGCACTTTGCCTGATAAAAACAAATTGCCTAAAAGCTAAGCACAGCAGTTTGTGCACAATGAATATGTACATCAACAGTAGCAGCAGGAGAGACACCAAAGAATGACAAGAATGATTTACATTTCTATAGTTTCTTTTGTGTACCCTAACTCCCTAAAGCATCTTACAAAGCAATAAATATCATAAGTGAGAAGAGGCAGTGATAGGATATCAATACAAGGAGTGATTGTGCAGCCAGACACAGCAGCCCTTCTGTGCTCAGCAGTATCCTCCTCCCCATCACCCCCCAACAGCTGTAAACATGAGTGTCAATTAATCTGTGCTGGTTAAGAAAGAAAAAGGGAAAAAAAAGGAGGAAGGAGGGGCTCAACCACCTGCAGAATGCATTTAGCCTCTAAAGCTTTTTACACCATCAACTATTTACCAATCTCTAAATATCCCTCAAAGTAATCTTTGTGGTTCAGGTAACCAGCTGTTTCTGCAACCCAAGCCTCAGAACTAAGAAGATTGTCTTTGGAATGAACTACAAAGGTGAGAAAGAAAAGAGTTTTTCAATGCTGTGGGTAGAAGTTGGGTATGACAGCGACAAAGGCCTGGGTTCCTCTCTTTTCATGGTTTCTGCGATGAATCCCAAGAAATAATGGAAATCATAGAAGTGAAACAAATCTCGCTGTGCCCAAATCTCCCTTGTCCAACCTGAATTCAGACTACAAGTGTGAGGATCCCAAGTCTCATTGGCTGTGGTGAATAATTTCCCCAACATGTCCTCCACTCAAAAAACGGGCCTGTCACTATCCTCCAGGGGTCACAGTTGGGTTACAAATTCCATGTGATGGTGCCTGAGCAGCCTGATTTGGAACAATTTATTCACATCCTTCTTCATTAAGATTCAAATGGAATAAGTAAGGTAGAAATTGAACAGACACAGAAATTGTGCATAGCTTGCTCCTGTAGTCAGTAAACATTTATTCACTAAGCACAGCTCATGTATTCTCTCTCACTCATATTCGTTCTTCCTATCCTTCCTGCTTGCTGTTTTAATGCATAATTAAGAAGGTCAGAATTAATGAAGCAGTATGGAGTAAAGTTCAAGGAATCCCCAGGCACTATTTATTCTATTAGATCTCAGGCATGAATGTCAGATTGGCAGCATGAGAGGTAAGAGCAGTGGGGCTGGCAGCATCCCAGCAACGAATCCACAAGGGGAGACTTACCTGCAGAGTCAAGTCATTCCTAAGCTCCTTCCCCGCAAAAATCACATGCAACTGGTCAGCTGGAACCCCCTGTCGCTTAGCAACTACCTCCTTGAGCTGGAAGATGCTGGTGTCTGCATCGACCTCCACGGGGAAACCATGGCTGGAGTTGAACCTAACAAACACTGGCCAAGAAATTGGAAGGGAGAAAAAAAGTGAGCATTTTCCCCAAAATTGTTTTTAGTAAGAATCGTTTCTAAAACCTTGATTCCCAATCCAATGGTATAAGGTGCTTTTCACTTTAAAACTGAACTTTAATGATATAGTGGACCAGAAAAGGGAATCTCAACATGGGATTTTTTCCTATTATTAATCAATGACCTTAGAACCCAAATTGTATGTTCCTTTTTACATTCAAAATAGAAAATTACTGGGCCAAGCAAAATACTTGGGATGAATTTTAAGACCATCACTAGATTATTAAATGGATCTTGAACTTGACATGGATGTACAAACTCACATATAACACCTGGTCAACATGGCAAAGAGGCAGAAACTAAAGATAATTGTGTCTTTAAAATCAAGAATCTCATAATTCATTTGAATTCCTACAATTCATGTGTGATTCACAATAAAATCAATGTTTTTTTCACCAAACTGTAATCACCAAAAATACAGCCCCTCATGGAGCCTTTCTTAATGTCGAATGGAGCAACTGCATGAGTCTTATTGAAGAAGAAATGAAAGACGTTGCTAATGGTAGACAGGAATTCAGGAAGTTAGCCAAAGCTCTGCAAATTCTTTTTCTTTACTCAAAATCGAAACAAAATAAAACAATGACAAAAAGACTCCTTCTCCTTTGATCCCATCCAAATTTCCCTTTCTAGGCTTATCTTCCATAAATGCTCCTTCACTTTCTCTACTGGCCAATCAAACTTGGTTAATCACTATTTTTCAAACAAAAATCACACTTTCTTGCTGCCACAGATCAGATTACTGGCTTGTCCTTATAATCTGTCATGCCAGATTAGTGTGAAATTGGGGTAGCATTCTTTAAAAAAAA